AACGAAAAGAATTTTCGTGTCACAACTTCCGGAGAGTAGAGTGGGACGTAAGACATCAGCTATCAAATATGAACTTTTTGAGGAAAATTAGCGGGAGACTATTCGAACAACGGGAAGCTCGGGAGAAAGCCAAACCTGCAGAATGTTCCTGTTTTTCCTCTCCACCACTTGCACCAGTGATCCTCTTTTAACAAGATAGCGGCAATTTGATACGAGAGCGATCTTCCTTAAAATGTACTACGTAGATTCACTACTAGAGCTCCTGTAACAGAACAGAGAGCTGCCGAGCCTTACTTGAGGTCAGGATCCTTGTAGATTAGTCGACTTTCTACTTCCAGCAGTTGTTCCGTCCGTTCCATTCTACGAGCGCCTTCGTTGCATTCACCCACCACCTTAAGAAAGTTGGCTCTCTACCGCTTTTTGTAAAGGTAAAGGGCTCATTTGGAACTTTCAACAAGGCGAGGGATTTCTCGCAAAGATCTCGCGAGCATTCACGTGAACTACCTTGTTAGCTGCATGTAAAGCTCTTGTTGCAACCTCGTATTCCTCGCATCCCCTTTGGAGTCGGTCTAATATGGCGTAGACAAGGAGCGGATACCTGCAACAACAGTAATTAGCATGAATTTGTCGCATCACCTTTTGAGGTTGCCAATTTCTCAGCCCAAAAATGCACAAGAACGGTGCCCGAGGGTAGTGATACCCTGGACTCCCGCGCCGGAAGCCGTCTTGAGACTCCGCCCGCACTGGAACACGGCTAACTAGAAGTCTAACCATAGCCAAACGCACTACTTGTCTGCACCCTCTCACTCCTGGCTAATCTCTACTTCAGATTACGTGCTTGCTGCAGGATTTTGATATCGACGAGGTGGCGCTCCCTGGGAATAGAGCGGGTATGTGGCAAGAGAATCGTAATTCGCCGCGCCAGTGGGCGTCACGTGCGACGTCGCGCCTGCTTGACGACGATTTAGGTGATATTGGTCGAGAATAGACAATGTATGACCAAAAATAGACATAAGTTCTACCATGTCCTTGTCTGCGTGAAATCCGATGCTCCAATCGAAAGGGTAGTGCAAATTAAGGAAACGTCGCGCCCATTGCCGCGCGCGACGAAGCGGCGTCTACGATTCTCTTGCCCGTCTCCCGAATAGAGCGGCGGAGTCGGGAACGGCAGCGGCGTACCAACAGCCCTCCGGCCCCTTCCCATGCTCTTTTGAACGGCAAAAGTTGCACGCTACTGCAGCTACTATCCTATT